CCCCAAAACCCCAAAACCCCAAAACCCCAAATTTACCCACAAAGATTGAATTATGACTCTTTTAACAAATAATGCTCAACTTGAATATATTTGACAGTTCTGTCAGAGTCTACATACCCTAATCTTGCTATTTTTCTTGTGAGTTTAGCTACTCTTTCAAGGGCAACAAGCTCTCTGATTCCCAATGACTGGCTAAGGTCTACCACCTTAACCATGTACTCGGAGTGGAAGAGATTTGGGTCTCCTTTATAGACTAGGAAATCAGCCCCATATTTTAGCCCATTCGTTCAGTAAAGTCCTCTGTTGTATAAATCCTTGAAAATTTCGTATTTCAAGCAATATGAATCAGCCCACGGATTTCAGCAATTATCCTGAGGAGTTCCCTTCTTCTGAATACAGGTTGGGTCTCTATAGATGCTAGTAAAGAATACTTTAGGAGATTTCAAAATATGAATTCCTTAGAAGCCAAGATCTCTGACTAATAGAAAATACCCTTCAGAAATTTAAAGGTTTAGCCACATTATTTTAAAGTTTTTATTCGAGAAATATATTGAGCCTGAATGACAGTCTCCCAGAAGGCTTTCGAGAACTATGCTCGATACAGACTTCTTCTAGTTTCTCAGCAATATTGCTTTTTATGTAACATGAAATATTGAAAATTATTGCTTAAAATTTTAAGATTTGCTCATTATTTCAGAAGATTTCTATCAATTTAGCAAAATTTCAAATGAACTTTAAAATATCAAACTCTAATTTTGCTTCTTAATAGAGATCAGAGGCTTACTCAGTATATTCAGGTTCTTCAGTATAACCAACAGATCCTTCCTTTCTTGGGTTCTTTTCTTGAGCCAATTTCAGTGAGATTTTCTCTCACAGGAGATTATCCAAAAGCGAGTGCTCTACAATTAGCCTGAGACTGAAAGAATCTAGCACAAAAGGAGGCCCTAGTTGGTAAGATTGTGACTTAGAACTTCAAGGAGTTCCCACTGACTGGGGAACCAGCCTCATCGAACTCAGATGCTTATAAATAGGAATAGATGTGAACACCATCTGGGAGTTTACAACAGAGAACTCTGTCTCTGAAAGGTCCATTTCTGGCAAGTCTTTGGATTCCTCCATAATTTTTTATCATTAAAGGGGTTTTGGGGTTTTGGGGTTTTGGGGTTTTGGGG